CCATGCATAAATTATCCTTGGCCTACGTGCCGAATGCCTCGTTCTTGCCAAAAAGTTGATCTCATTTTTGTTTCAACTCCTCAGGTCATTGTTGCCCAGATAGTGTAGGTGAAGTGGAGTATGGGTAACCATTTAGCTGTAGCATACAGAATTCTGGAATTTAAACAGTGCACATGGTAAGTTGTTAGTGTCGTAAGTTCGAGACCAGTCCAGACTGACTAGAATATGACTGTGTAAGATAAGTTTAGTCATTTGATTTCTTAGCTAACTTTTCTTCTTCTTCGTTCTTTAGTGTAATGTTAGACGATACTTCCTCCGACACAATTAAGTATTACGTGTCAACTTGTTATGCGCCATCGTTGATTCCGATTTCAGCCTGCTTTTCTATTTTTGGATATGCAAATATATCTAACTGTTTACATTGCATTGATTTAATGGTATGTTGAATTGGGATTTCTGAATTATAAAAGCATTTTTACAAACTCATTGCTAATACACTTTTGTGACTTTATTTCCTGTTACTTATTTCTGTGACTTTTTTTCTGTGACTTTTTTTCTGTGACTTTTTTTTTCTTGTGACTCTTTTCCTGTGATTATTATTTTTTTATACCTGAAATCGCTCCCTTAGCCTTTGTCCATCAAAGAACACGTTATAAGTATTAGCTAACTTTACGGGAAAATTATTTATCTTGGGTGTCTTCGCTATTTTAATACAACAATGTTGTACAGAGAATAAAATTGTGCTAGACTGTCTGTTGGTACTCCATGAACAACGGAGAAATAAGTGCCAGAGTTGAGATAAATCAAAGTTTTCATGTACGAACAATTTTAAAGCTTAAGTAAAACAACATGGGTGTTCTAGTGGCCATTTAACACAAGAGATTTTCAACTTGAGTGTCATGTTGACAGGTAACCGTTTGTACCCATTGCCGTGTGTCCAGTTAACTGTGTTCAGTGTCCGGGTAACCGCGTATCCGGTTAACCATGTGCGTTTAGTTAACAGTACGTTTAGTTAACAATGCGTTTAGTTAACAGTGTGTTTAGTTAACAGTGCGTTTAGTTAAACATGTGTCCAGTTAACTACGTGTCCAGTTAACCAAGTGTCCAGTTAACCATATGTCCAGTTAACCATGTGTCCAGTTAACCATGTGTCCAGTTAACCATATGTCCAGTTAACCATGTGTCCAGTTAACCAAGTGTCCAGTTAACCAATTGTCCAGTTAACCATGTGTCCAGTTAACCCTGTGTCCAGTTAACCATGTGTCCAGTTAACCATGTGACCAGTTAACCGTGTGTCCAGTTAACCATGTGTCCAGTTAACCATGTGACCAGTTAACCGTGTGTCCAGTTAACCAAGTGTCCAGTTAACCGTGTGTCCAGTTAACCATGTGACCAGTTAACCATGTGTCCAGTTAACCATGTGTCCAGTTAACCATGTGTCCAGTTAACCGTGTGACCAGTTAACCACGTGTCACACTAACCAAATGTCATGTACATTCAATCTGTCATCCATATCCTGTTAGCTTCGTGTTTGTCTAGCCCTATGGCCACTAATGGCCAGATAAATTTTGTCACGTGACCAGCTTATCCCCACTACAGGCCCGTGACGGCCGTACATTGGGTCCAGTGTGCCCGTACATACATTATCATATGTGCTGGTGTAGGCAGCTGTTAGGCCATACATAACAACATACAGGCCAACACACATCAATGTATACATACAAGCACATGCTTGCATACACACATATTTGCAGACCCACACCCAAATATATACATTCATATTTCCCACACTCAATCAGTGTCAACTACACACACTCCCAGTCTCTCATCCCCCTCCTACACACACACAAGCTATTGTCTCTTACACACACTTCTAGTTTCTCCACCCCCCCCCCTCACATACACTTCTAGATTCTACCCCCTACACACACAGCTAGTGTCTCCAACACACACTTCTAGTTTCTACCCCCCCCACACACACACAATGTAGTGTCTCCTACACACACTTCTCTTCCCCCCCCCCCCCTTCCCATAGTCTCTCTCACACACTCAGCCAGTGTCTCCCAAACACTGAAACAAAAAAAATTCCATCTTTCACTTGACCTGCACATCCCCCACCCCCATCCCCCTCCCCCATCAACCACTCCCCACCTTTCTCAACAACCATTCCCCCCCCCCTCTCCACGCGGCTTTCATCCAAAAGAACAGCGGACACCTTAATCCCGTGGATTAAAGGCGATACCTGGTCCGATACGGCCCCGCTCGCTTTGTCCTACCCCCTCCCCGCTCCTGGTCATTCGAACAGAGATTACGTCACGAACCCAGCCAGGCTTATCTTGTATTAACGTCCCCCCCCCGGACCCAACCACCTCCCCTTTATACTATCCCAACCACAATTTACGACCAGCATTTGTTCCCCACTAACCTGAACCTCTTGACCCTTGACCCTTCCTCACAAACAAAAGCACCCAAAAGGAGTACATTTTTCTGTTGTTGATGAGGTGAAGGGACGCTGGTTAAGAATTGCCCCCCCCCCCCCCCCCGCGCTCACACTCTCACATACACACACAAAATAAAACATGGCGAAGTCTCTCAATTCCCCATAAAAAGGGCCAAGAAAATTTTTCTTTTAAACCACGACGGCGTAAGGGTAGCCGTGTAGCACTGCCGGACCAGCGTAAGAGTAGCCGTGTAGCACTGCCGGACCAGCGCAAGAGTAGCGTGTAGCACCACCGCGGCGCAACCATTGTCACGGACCGGCTCGAGACCGAGCCCGGGACCGCGGGGGGAGACAGGCCCGTCTTTATCGCCCCCCGTATCCGTTTCAAATGGCCCGATACTTTTAATATCCCCCCGCGGTAACATGGGATTCGTGGATAGCGTCCAACCATACGGTCGTTCCGCTTGGCCGGATGCCGTGATTCCATTAGGGCCGGGTGTCAGGTTGTTGATCTGGAAGTGGCCGGAGTTGGTGTGTGTGTGCATGTGTGTATATGCGTGTGTGTATGTGCGTGTGTGTGCATGTGCGTGCATGTGTTTATGTGTGTGTACGTGGGTGTTCGTGTGTGCATGTGTGCTTGTGTGCTTGTGCGTGTATGTGTGCATGCGTGCGTATGTGCGTGCGTGTAGGTGCGTGCGTGTATGTGCGTGCGTGTGTGTGCGTGCGTGTAGGTGCGTGCGTGTATGTACGTGCGTGTGTGTGCGTGCGTGTATGTGCGTGCGTGTATGTGCGTGCGTATGTGTATTATCAAGTGACTGAGTTGCTAGGTTAACCAGTTTATGCCGTGGATTATTTCTGGATTCCAAAAAAAAATCCCAATAATGGATTCCCTCTGATTAAACTCGCAATGAAACGGCTAGATTAACTCGACACAAACACACTACACACACACACACACACATACATACACATACACACATACATACATACACACATACATAGACACACATTCATACATTCACGCACACACATTGTATAAAATGTTTAAAAAATGTAATGCAACGTGTGTTGTTTTTTTTTTAATTAAAAAAGATTCAGGGGGAATTTTATTGGTTCTTTTCTGTAAAAGGGCAACAGGTGTTGAGAACTTGGTGTCTATAGTTCGTTTTAAAGTTTATTGATGTCTCCTAAAAGTTATTGACTGCTAGGGTGGTGAGTACTTGGTGTCTATAGTTCGTTTTAAAGTTTATTGATGTCTCCTAAAAGTTATTGAGTGCTAGGGTGTTGAGTACTTGGTGTCTATAGAACGTTTTAAAGTTTATTGATGTCTCCTAAAAGTTATTGCGTGCTAGGGTGGGGTGGAGGGCGTTGGAAATCTTCTAGAAAGGTGAAAACAGCGGTATACATAGGATATGCTCAATGGGTTTTACAGGTAAGGGCGTGTATGTGACTCATGTAAAGATGTAGTCAGTAGTAGGGGCGTCAGTGGTAGGGGCGTCAGTGGTAGGAGGGTCAGTAGTAGGGGAGTCAGAATTTATATAGAAGGAAATATATACTTTTACCAGTGTCTGCCCCCGCTTCCCCGAAAGTTTCAGGTGCCCCCCCCCCCCACTACTGAGAATAATGTATGAAAGAAACACTTTTGATGGCGCTAGAGATATCAAAGTGACAGCGCATACCTGGATCTACTTGTGGGCTTTAGTGCTGTTTCCAATAAAGATACACCATAGATTGTATCACAGTCATGAAATCTACTCATTGTTTCTTCCAGACAATGTTTTTCATAGTAGAAGGGGTGAGGCGGTAGAATAATTATACAATGTAAAAGGTGATCGTCTTTGAAGATGTTAAGAAAAAATATTGGGATAGGGTGTGTGGGTCAAAAGTTCCATTTAGGTTAGTTAGCCTTAGATTAGGTTTGGGACTAGGATTCGTTTGACGGTAAGGCTCGACTTGTGGGACGGGGTGGCTTTGCGGTAGAGCGTTAGACTTCAATCCGAAAGTCTGGAGTTCAAATCCCCCCCCCCCCCCCCAGCTCTGATGGGTACCTAACTCACGTTATGTTAAGTAAAGGCAGTTGGGCATAGAGCTGACCAATCTATCCCTTCATATGCAGAGGTCACAGAAACAGATGGACTCTACTTCACTAGCCCCACGGACAAGGTTCGACTCACTTAAAAAAAATTAACAGTCATCTTTGCTATACTACAAGAGATGAGTACTGCCAAAAGTATGTCCGGATGAAATGTCTAACTACATTCATCTACACTGACCTATCACATGACCCCCTCCCCCATCCCTACCCAACTTTTGAATAAAACTACGGATACGTGTCTGACCTTTAAGCATAGCTCAGGGCTTACCAACGGTGTATTAATTCCTAATACACCCCTATTTTTTTTTTACCATGCAACCTTCTCCCCCTCTCCCCCCACTTCCTTTATAACCCCACCCCACCCCTCTCCCGCCCCGCCTCGCGTCAAAACAGACCGGCTGTGTTTTTTTTTTTTTTGCCGCTGTTTCGGCTACACAGCCCGAGTCTCGAGCGGGTCCTCTCGTCTGCTACCGGGTGTGAAACTCTCCTGTTGTGTCAGTCCCCCTTTCAGCCCTCGTCCACAGCAGACGATACAAGCTCATACAGACGATCGTTGATTTTTTTTTCTTTCTTTACCTGAGGGATGGAAATCAATCATATATTTTTTGTGACGAAATGTGTAGGTGCTTACGAGTGATTGGATTACTGGTGTGTACTGATCGGCCCGCTAGCCGAGGTGTGTTCCGAGCGAGCGCTGTGTGTACATCAAACGCGAGGGATGGGTTAATCTCGCGCGACACGACATGACCCCCTCGGATGGGGATCCAACGTTTCAGATGTTTACCTGGATTTAAAACTGACAAAAATTTAATTAATGACGTTCAGACCAGGCAGCTGTCCGTCCAGGTAAGGTAAAGAGATTTTGTTTGCATAAATAATTTATCATTGTAAACATAAACATGTGACTAGTTAGATCTAGGTATCTAGTCTAGATTCTAGATTTCTAGATCTAGAATTCTAGAGCTAGTGTTGGAATTAAAATCTAGAACTTGAAATCTAGATCTTAGATTCGATTCTTGAATTAAGATCTAGATATCTAGATCTAGAAACTAGATCTAGATCTAGAACTCTAGATGTCATGAAGTGTAAGTTGTTTTTCATAGCTAGACAACTCAAAAACAACATAAACATTACGTCATCACAAGTGACCAAATGAAAATAACTGGATTCTAGATCTAGATTTCTAGGTCTATCTGAGCCTGTTCCCCGAGCTGAACAAAATGTATGTTACGAAAGTTGATAATTAATTAATTTCTAGACATTGTTAATCATGTTATTGTATTCAGATCTAGAATCTAGGTTTTGTCCGATACTGCGCGTGATGAATGTTGTGTGCTCATACTCAAAATGATTAGATCTTGATCTAAATCTATTCTAGATTAATTGATTATAATTTATGATATAGGCCTAGGCCCAATTAAATTATAATATGATTAAGCGTAGGGCCTAATCTAGATTTTTTTAAAAATATTAATAAACACATCTAGATCTAGATCTAGATCTAAATCTAAAATCTAAATCTCAAATTCGCATTTTTAAGAATCTAATCACTAATTTTATTTGTTAGTGATGGTGATTGTATGATATATTCTACATCTAGATTAGATTCTAGACAAGTATCTGATCACTTGATTATGCATGATGGTCGTATAGCCTAATAATAATTATTTTTACATTATATCGTAATTAAAACTTTATACTAAAACTAAGTTTAGTCTAGATCTATAGTCTCAATAGGTCAAGTCAGAACTGTGTTGTTGTTTTTAAATACATTACTTTATCTAAATAATACAGCACTGATGAATACTGTGTTATCTAAATATCTTAAATCTTAATGTGCTGTGGGATCTACATAATACAGCAGGCTACTCTGTTATCTAAATATCACTATAACAATGTACTGTGTTACCTAAATATTATAACACCATAAATATCTAAATAACATAGTACTATATTGTCTGCATAACACAGTACTGTTATCAAAATAATACAGTTCTGTGTTTTTGAAATAATACAGTACTGTGTTAAATACATAACACAGTACTGTGTTTAATACATAATACAGTACTGTGTTTAATACATAATACAGTACTGTGTTAAATACATAATACATTACTGTGTTTAATACATAATACATTACTGTGTTTAATACATAATACATTACTGTGTTTAATACATAATACAGTACTGTGTTAAATACATAATACATTACTGTGTTTAATACATAATACAGTACTGTGTTAAAAATATAATACAGTACTGTGTTAAATACATAACACGGCACTGTGTTAAATACATAATACATTACTGTGTTAAATACATAATACAACACTGTTAAATACAGTAGCATAGGCCCTACTGTGCAGTCTTACGACTCGCCCAACCCGAACACGACGCAAAGGTGTGTCCCTGCGCTCAACAGAATGTTTTGTCTAGATCTAGGTCTAGGTCTATACAGTATAACATACTGTGTTCTTTCATACAGTTCTCCATTGTTTTTTAATACAGCATCGCGTTGTCTAAAGTATACAGTACTGAGCTTTTCAATACACTGCCGTTTTTTTTGTTGTTATTACAAAACTGTATTGTCTTTTAGATCTACAGTATTGTGCTGTTCAATACACTGTCGTTTTTTTTTTATGTAGTACTGTGTTGTTTAGTACAATACTGTTAAATACAGTACAGTGGTGTTCAATACACTGCCGTTTTTATGTAGTGATGTGTTGTTTAGTACAATACTGTTAAATACAGTACTGTGGAGTTCAATACACTGCCGTTATTTAGTTGTTAGTATAAAACTGTATTGTTAAATACAGTATTGTGCGTTGTGTAATACGGTTTGCACAGTATTGTATGGTGTGTGATACAGTTGTATGTGTTGTGTGTTGTAGTTTGTACTACGTCTTGTGTGATACATTTTGTGCTGTATGTTGTGTCATTCAGTATATTACTTACAGTTTTATGTTTCAAAGTTTGAAATACTTTATGTTTAAAATCAAAGGCCCTATGGGACGTTTTTTTTAAATTTATAATTCCTTTATTTAAATACTGTAATGAGTGTTGTGTTTTCAACCTTTTTTTTCTTAAACTATGAAACTATTTAGTTTGACTTAAAAATACAATAACATAACAATCCTAGTACGTAACATTAAAAATAAAACCTCATTATTTACGTTACTGGTGTTAACAAAAAATCGACAAAAGGAAGTTCGCATGGAAAATAAATTGTACTGTTTTCATTATTTTTATAGTTTCTTCAATGAAAAGTAGTTTCAGTATTTTATAAAAGTATGTTTATAAACATAAAGAAATCGCCCTTTCCCCCCTCGAATAATCACAATTAATAACAAAACTAGTACAGTCAGCTAAGGTGTTTCTGTTTACTGTATTGCTGTTATGGTTAGAGTCAGCCAGGATACGATTCCTTGCACACATTCCTTGCTACTATAACCCTTTGGATTAAGGTAAGGATTGGCTCAGTTATACGAGCATGTCATCTGTGACTAATCTCTCTACACTATCCTAGGAATATTCGACACACATTCGTATCTAGAAAATCCACATAACCATAAAGTTAGGTTCTGGGTTCGCTTCACCACATAACCATAACCTAAGGTCACGTCTGGGTAATCTTTATAGACTTGCGGCATTATGTTATAGACTTGCGGCATTATGTTATAGACTTGCGGCATTATGTTATAGACTTGCGGCATTATGTTATAGACTTGCGGCATTATGTTATAGACTTGCGGCATTATGTTATAGACTTGCGGCATTATGTTATAGACTTGCGGCATTATGTTATAGACTTGCGGCATTATGTTATAGACTTGCGGCATTATGTTATAGACTTGCGGCATTATGTTATAGACTTGCGGCATTATGTTATAGACATGCGGCATTATGTTACCCACTATCTGCCTACCATGTACATAACTGTTTGGTTTATCAGGACATGGCCAGTAAGCTTTATCCCACCCCTCTATTCCTCTCTCACGTCACCACAAAAAGACACCCCCCTCCCCCGCCTCCAGAAAAAAGACAGACACACCGAACATAGACCGATGTTTGATGTTTGAATATAGACCCATGTTTGAATATAGACCCATGTTTAAATATATAGACCCATGTTTGAATATAGACCCATGTTTGAATATAGACCCATGTTTGAATATGGACCCATGTTTGAATATAGACCACTCTTTGAATATAGACCACTCTTTGAATATAGACCACTCTTTTAATATAGACCCATTTTTTTAATTTAGACCCATGTTTGAATATAGACCGCTGTTTGAATATAGACCGCTGTTTGAATATAGACCCATGTTTGAATATAGACCGCTGTTTGAATATAGACCGCTGTTTGAATATAGACCCATGTTTGAATATAGACCACTGTTTGAATATAGACCCATGTTTGAATATAGAACCAGGTTTAAATATAGACCCATGTTTGAATATAGACCCATGTTTGAATATAGACCCATGTTTGAATATAGACCTATGTTTGAATATAGACCCATGTTTGAATCTAGACCCGTGTTTGAATATAGACCCATGTTTGAATATTGACCCATGTTTGAATCTAGACCCATGTTTGAATATAGACCCATGTTTGAATATAGACCCATGTTTGAATATAGACCCATGTTTGAATATAGACCGCTGTTTGAAGACATTGAGCTCAGGTGTTGAGAGTTTACTTGACAACGCCAGAATGCTGTTTGCTTAGAGATTATTGGGGAAAACGTTATCACACTTGCCGATGAATAGAACTGTTGGTGACGTCATCTCACATTTTTCATATTCTCTTTCTCCCCCCCCCCCCCTCCACTTCTCCAGTCACCTCATACGCGGGGATTTTACTAAATTCCATTGGAACAGGTGTTTTTTTTTTTAAACTAAAATATTTTATTAACTGTTTCAGTACACTTCAAATACCATAAGCTTTGCACGTACACTTTGAAATCTTAAAGATGTTTATTCACTCTAAATGATTTGCGCGAACTGCTTCTGTAAAGCGATAATTATACTATATACTTCCTCTAAGCGGCATAATTTTAAAACCAATGTTTTTGTAAGCCTCATGGTCTGTATAAATGTTCCCAGTATGCTTTGTGAATAGTTCCCCTTTACTGTTTAGTATTGGTACCGCGACTGTGGGTGTGTGTGTGGGGGGGGGGGGGGTGTAAGGAACATCCAACCGTATACAGGTCGACCCCTTTTTGAGTGGTCCCCTGATCCCACGCGTGGTATCCCCAGACCACTCACCTAACCTACACCTATTACAACTTCTATTCCGATTGAGTTTACAAACCGAATTACAGATGTTTTTTTAAAATCTATTTTTATCGCCGTTGTTATTTCTCGCACAAGTGGCGCGGTGGGGGCGCTCAAGTGGGGGAAAAACAGCTCGGATCTAAATTACATTTTAAAAACAATTTTTTTTTCGTATCGTTCCACAACACCCTAATTAGTTTGATTGCGTGTTTGTGCGCCCACGTGTCGCATGTGCTCGCTAAATGAATTAATCTAATCCAGAGAACCAAAAATATGATGTATAGCTTTCGTGTTGTAAACGGACTAGCGTGTTATTGTGTTGTAGATTGTGTGGCATCCATCTTGTCACTAGGGAGTTGTTTTTAATAGCGAAGTTCCCCTTTTCGAACTTGGCTGTCTATCGGGTAAGTGAAGTAGAGTTCATCTGTTTCTGTGACCTTGGTATGTGAAGGGATAGAGTGGTCTGAAGTATGCCCAGCCACAAATTACTTTCTTTTATGGGGCGGCTTGGTCTAGCGGTAGAGCGCTAAACTGCTAATCCGAAAGTCTCGAGTTTGAACCCGGACTC